AAACCATCTCCAGCTTCATCCCCGTCTTGAAGGAGTGCTTGGGCAGGTCTACGTGGTCCTGACACAGTAAAGTCAAGACTTTTAGACAAATGTGCTCCACTTGTGTTTAACGCACACATACGCAAGACAATGTAGGTCATGCACACCCCGCCGGGGGGCAGAGCAGCGTTCCCACTTTAGCAGTTAAAGATGTGTGGTATCAGATTGGTGGCGATCATTAAGCCAAAGTTAATATTAATAATTGCTGTTTTCCTCAGATTTGATGAGCGTACCATTTAGAAAACATTTGGGATAATTTAAGAACTCAACTACATATAGAACAAAGAGCTTATACATTGTTAAATGAGGATGTGTGTGGCTAACCTGCTGTGCACTCAGAGCTTCCAGGTTAAACTCGCAGTTAATTAAAACTGTACGCTTTTTCTCCATAATTATCACCAGATTACAAAGTTATATCTAGAAAACTTCCAACAAAATTACTAGTAAGGTTATTCTGAAATGATGGACCTTAAATCCATCAAATCAAACTGCAAGTTTTAACTGAATCTTCTTCCTACAATGCATAAGTCATTTTCCTGATTAATTTCTGTGCTGTGGTGGATGTGAGTAGATTAGCTCCTGTATCATTTGCAATGTATTGTTCTGTTATATGTGTTGGTATGTACGACATTGGCGTGCACTCGACGTGAAACTTTGCTGCCACCTTTGCTGCCATATGAACGAGAGATACTGCCAGAAAAAGCTCACAGTGCTGCACCAAAAATACATTACAAAGACAAGATTTCTTTCTTTATTTAAATAATTGTTTCCCTGAGAATGTGAAACAACTGAGCTGTGATCTAAAATCATTACTTTTGTATTTCCTTCAGCTCTGACTGCCAACAGTCCGGTACAGTCCGGTACTTCATTTCTGAAACTAAATTAAAATCTCTGTCATACAGGAAGTCTTGTGTTTGCAGTTACTATAGAAAGAATAGAAGGAGGAAGAAGAAGTGGTTAGTTTTATTTAGGAGTGGTCACAGTGCTGGTTAAACCAATTATAGAAACTTTATTAAAGCTCTAACCTGTAACATCATCCTCATTAAACAGTGTATAAGCTCTGGCTCTATGTTCTATATGTAGTTGAGTTCTTCCATTATCCCAAATGTTTCCAACAATGTTCAAACTCACAGAAATCTGTCATTTTATGACGCCATCGATGGATCGTTGGGCTCCCGGTAGAAAACTCCTGAACCATGAACACTGAAGGAATCCTAACCGGGAGAAGCTGACTGCAATGACGCCAACGGTGGTGAAGACAACAACTCCCATGATCCCACGCTGCTTCAACACCTCATCACACATATTTTGTTATTGTTTGGATGTGAGAGACCCCCCAGTGTTAGAAACTACGGACTGTACGTTTAAGCAACTATATAATTCAATATACAGCATAGGGAGAATAAATTAAGATTTACTTGGGTTTAAATTGAGTTTTTCTTTCAAGGACATTACTATTTTTCCTAGAATTGGCACCAAATGACCAAAATTCTTTCAAGGAAACTGATTAGTAATTACAGACCTGTAAAATTTTGTATTTATTGACTCAGTTTAATCATAAACCAGCCGCAGACAGTAGAGCTAAGAGTGACAGGGAAACACAACTCCTCTCCCCCCGGTCGGCAGTCTGGCTGCAACACACACACACACACACACACACACACACACACACACACACACACACACACACACACACACACACACACACACACACACACACACACACACACACACACACACACACACACACACACACACACACACACACACACACACACACAGTGTGAGGAGCAGAAATGTGTGTAAACTGCAGCAACTCACCTTGAACACCGCCAGCGGCAGCGGGTTCTTTGCTCCGTCGTCTTGAGCGTCCTCCAGAGCCTGCTGCCAGTCGGAGGGGCTCTTCAGAGACCTGAGCGCTGGGGACAAAGGATACAGAAAGTCAGTTTTTTAGGATCAAATGTCATCATGTAACTGACACCTTAATGGTGTGTTCCTGCTGGTTTACTCACAGGATCATTTATATTTCCTCACGTTACTCACACGAGGAACACAAAGACAATATTCATCCTTTAATCTTGTTTACTGCGGCGGTATGAGCCCATAATAAACAGATATAGCTGTGATTTAGTGTCAATAAATGGATCAAAAAGATGCCGAAATAACTGAGAGTCTGAATTCAGTCGGTCGGTCCGCAAGGCGACGAGCAAACAACTTTTAAAATGCCTGTTTTCTGAATGGAGTTTGGCTGATCGGGGCTATGCTAACTTAGTTCATAGTAACATAAAACCAATAGCTGGAATCAATTAACAGTCACATATTTTCCAACTTCTCCTCTCTTACTTTTCTCCGAGCAAAGCTTTTCTTTTTCTTTTTTTTTTTTTAACAGAAAATGAATTAGCAACAGTTACAGCAACAGAGGGCTAAAGAGGAAAACATGATCCTTAAGTATTATTAGGTTTCTCACACACACTATAATAATGTTTGGCGAAGTAAATGAAAAGCAGATTATCACCTGTTGGCGGCTCTAAGGCGAGACGGTTCTCCAGAGCCCAGCCGAGCGGGCGGAGCCGGACATCCAGGTAGAACAGCCAGACGTCCTCATCGTGCTGGTCGTCAGAGAGACCGGCGTAGCGCAGGCGGAGCCTCCCTCCCACGTTCTGGATGACTCGAGCAGGCCAGTAAAGGAACGGGTCGGAGACGTCCTGAAGCTCCGAGACGGAGCCGTCGACGATCAGATCCACTGTGTTCTTCCCTCTCAGAGGCTGACGGAGACACACACAGTTATTCATTCAGAAATCTCATCATCTCATCGGTTAAAACCAAAGCGGGGGGAGCTTGGGAACTACATTCTGAGAAATCATTTTCCAGGAAATTTTCCAGGAGTTTTCTTGACAATACAGGACAGAACTTTCTCCCGGTCATATCATTTACAGGTAGGCCTTGAAGATGATCAGCGTTTATGGGACTTTCCAGTGGCTGCAGCTTTTAAGTAACAGTTCAAATTAAGTAGAATTTATTGTATTTTACAGAAAATGTACCTCCTGAAAGGGAAAGTATGTTAACATATAATTAACATCGCTGTGCTACTGAAAAATTAGCCCACCGCGGTTCCTTTGTTGCACGTTATTCCCCATCTCTTTCCTCACTTCCTTCCTGTCATCTTTCTGCAGCCCTTGTTTTAAATAAAGGCCCCAAATGTTGCAATCAGAAAGTGAACTTTTATTGAGTCTGGTTAGTTCAACAGTCAGGAAACAGTTCTTATTGCAGTGACCTAACAGTTAAATATACCCTTTGTATGAATCCTTCCTCTATTTTCTCACAGGGGAACTGTAATGAGAGTCATTACAACCATATCCACAACTTATCCAACAGTTCCTCCAAGTTCTGCCTCTTACTTTCTCTCAGCGACTCTTTTAAAGAAACCATTCCCCAAGACTTTTCCAGGACGTTTTCCAGGAGTTTTTCCTTGACAATAAATGCTGGTTCCAATTGTGATTTCTTTTGCTATTTTTTCAGTCTTCCATGACAATGACTTAAATATTTTTAAGTTTTGACTGCCGGTCGGAAAAAGCAAGCAGTTTCAAGATGGTATGTTGGACTATTATCTGTTATTTTATTAACCAAAATAATAGGCATAATAAACGTGGTTGCAGCCCTAGGTAATATCACCACTTAATATCATGTTTGGGCAGTTTTAGTGTAAGAATATTGGCACTGGCCTTCAGAAAACAGCTGGATCTGACTCCTAACATCCAGTAAGTGTGGGCCAATATTTCAAATAAATCAAATCAATAAAAAGAGGGCTCAATAAGACAAATGGCTCTTTAAGTGTAAAGGACTCACCCCCTCCAGCAGGTTGGCCGGTGCCGTCCTGGAGCCGGTCAGGTCCTGGACGAGGAACTCTGTCCAGTCGCTGTATTTCTCCTTGATGGCTGCAAAGAGACAAACACAGAGCAAACAATCAAAGTGTGGAAAGTGAGCAGGCTGTTGTGTTGTTGTACATTATTAATTGTGTGCCACTTCGTTGCTGCTGACACCAGAGAACTGCACGCATGAGTACGCACAAAGACACACTCACTGGAAACACTGGATCGGTTCATTAAAACTGCAGATGTGAAGTATTTTAACAATGAATTTAAGCATTTTTATGTGAGAAAAAATTCAAGTATTCAGTGTTTTCCTGGAAAAGCCTGTGAGGCCTTTATGGCTTCAGTCACACTGCAAACATTAACGTTCAATTCAGATTTCTGGCTGAGATCAGACTGCACGTACAAAAAAAAAGTAAGATCTGGCAGTGAACACATCGAAATTAAAAACACTGTTGCACTGAAAGATGTCATTTAAATGTTAATGTGCACGGTGACAGCTGCAAATTTGAGGAAAAAAATAAATCAAATGGGCAAAATAAAGCCAAAACGTTGGATTATGGCTTTCTGAAGAGCAGCGGTGGTGATTTATGTGCAGATGTGAGATCAGCGGTGGAAACACAAACAGGTGTCATTCAGAATTTCATAAATCAAAAGGTCACCTGTCGACTCGTAACTTCCTCTGCGAGCAGTAAATGGAGCACGAATACAAAATGACTGTTGAGACTGTAATCACACATTCTGTGTCTGGGTTGAAGACCACGTATGAAAGCAGCCCCCAATCACAACGGAAGACTGAGAGACAGATCTGGGGCACAAATGTGTGAAAGGAAAGCACTGAAAGCTTAAATATTCTCAATATTAAAAAAGCATATATTCAGGTTGGGGTTTCCCCCCCAAAATACCCAGTGAATTATTAATACTATTATATTATCAACAGGTGGAAATCAAATTTAAAACACACACTAATAGAACAGTCTGAAAAAAGACCTGATCTCAGTTTGTGGGGAACATGAGGGGAATTACGTGACTCAAACCTCCTCCAAAGTGATCACACAGATGACTCAACACCTCAACAAAAAACTAAACTCTGTCACCTTTGAGCTGGGAGGTTTGTAACACGCTGCTTTAGTTTTAACTACTTAATAAACTGGTGTGACAGGTCATTCAAGCACGCTCCTGAAGAGAGGTCTAGTTAGAACTTGTGCAGGTTTAATAAGGGCGTGTACCCGCTTTCATGATCAGAAAAGCAAGAAAACTGCTACAATAAACACCAACCGCATTATCCATAAATCAACTTAAAGTCTCTCTCACCCTCATACACACTTGTTTTTGGTCAGTTGTGTAATTTTAACCTAATTTTAACCGTATCCACTAAAGTATTACAACAGAAACATCTGGAGATTGAATACAATTACAAAATATCTTGCAAATAGTCTCTAGGGCTGCGTATTGGCAAAGATCTGGCGATAAGTATCGCGATAAAGGCATTACGATTCAATATACTGAGATGTATTGTTATCTGTGCTATGTAGCTGTTCGGAGGTTTAAACACAAAAATTACAGTGTTTTTGAGAATCGATACAATATCATAAAATATTGAATCGCAGTATTTTGTTTTGTGACTTCGATTCTCAAAAACATATTATTGATCTTTGTATTTAAACCCCAAACCACTCGGCAGCAGTGTTGTAAAGGTGAACTGAGGACTATAATCGTAACCTCTGTATCGTGATACATATCATATCACCAGATACTAATACTTATTAACACTGCATCATTAAACAAGGAGGAACAAAACCAGGGTTAAATGTGTCTACTGGTACATTAAATGACCGTTTGTGAGTCCTGGATTGCCAAGAAAATATTTTGAATTCCCACCATGTGAATAGATTTGTGTCCCTACAATGTGACCAAATCTCAACACACACACACACACACACACACACACACACACACACACACACACACACACACACACACACACACACACACACACACACACACACACACACACACACACACACACACACACACACACACACACACACACACACACACACACACACACACCAGGTGGACCAGAGCTCTGTCTTTATGCTATAAAGCCGAATTCCAGCAGATTCGCATGGGGGACATGTGGTTTCAGTGTGCTTCCTGTTTCCCACAGTGCAACAGTTATATAATTCTTGCTCATTCTCCTGATATCAGCCTCCTGTTTACCCCTCACCCTCCGCCCCCCAACATGCAGATTCCTAGGAATTCGCAGAAGATGCTGAGCGGCCTTCAGCATCCTGCATGTTTCTGACTTCAGCAAAAACACACAAAAAAAACCTCCACAAAGTCAGACACTTGTTACTGACACTGAAACGTTGCAGGATGAGTCAGAGTTACCGAATGACTCCAGCACACTGTAAGAACTGACATTCCCTGCAGCAGCGATTAGCATCAAGCTGAAGTGAAAGTGAAATGTAGTCCCCCACGTCGATAAGGAAACAGGTTCTGGATTAAGGTTGTTATGGTTGTTAATGTTCTTTATGAAGCCTGTTCACTTAGTTTGCTGGGCGAGAATTACCAAGCACATAGAGCTAAAGATCGTATGTTTATTTCAACACACAGCTGCTTTTATAAGCAACAGCTTAAAGACTGCATGAAACCGAAAGCAGCAAAAACAGGCAGCTACAGAGAGACTTGTTGGTAGTAAATAGTCCTGAATGTGTGCTACGTTGGTCCGGACTGGGAGCTCCCAGTGAACAGCACGGCCTGACCGGGGCCGAATGCAGCATCTGATGCTGACGGAGGCCAATTACCCAACAGGGAATAAAGTACAGAGGTGGTTTTATTGCAGGGTTTGACTCCTAAAAGTTGAAGATGGACGGGTGAATGTCCTGATATTATTGGTTGAAATCACTTAGTTCATGCTGACGTAACTAGAGTCACATTAAGTTTTACAGGAAGACACAATGATTGGATTTTAATATAACAATACAAAGAAATTAAGGTTTTTTTGGCATATATATAATATATTGTTAAATATGGGTACAATACGTCTGAGGATGTGATCTTACACAGATACAGACAAAAATACTTTACTGACTCAGTAACAGTCATATCATTTAGTATGCAGCCGTTTAACAGCTTATTTGAATCCCGCAACTTTTTACCGGGAGGCTAGTGTCACTGACGTTAAAACCACAGAGAGAAGCTGTGGTCGTTACAACAAAAAAATAAAAGTTTTCACCCTTATTAATCTGAGCAACAACATCAACCTCTCGTACAGTGGCATATAGAATGAACGCTCTTCAGTTGCCCCACTAACACTATCTTTACACAGACTGAGGGGACAAATTAGATTATTTTATAGAAATAAAATTCTCTGCTGCTGGTTGAAAGACAATACAATCCTGTCTGTGCTTGATTAAGGTGATGCTGTATATATATATGCAGGTGCTTCCTCACCATCACATCTCATAAGAAAAGGTGGGAAGCTCCTCCATAGGGTTTACCTTTAAAGCTCTACTGCAAAAAATGTGACCTCTGCTCTCTGGTTACATTTAACCTACAATGTCAGGTCTCAGGACTTTTTATCATTAGCTGTATATTTCCAAATCACACTTGTAAATTATTTTCTGTCCATGTTTAAACTGCATATATTAAAAAGTCTACAGTAGCCCAGAACAGACAAACAAAAACGCTGCAAACACCGGCGCTAGAGAGGGGGCGTTTATTATCAAAATTAAGCCTTTTCTAGTTTGTTTTAGGAATGTCACAAGAATCAATTCTTGCAGAGCGAACATCAGCTGAGTGCCGAAGTCATTCGGTACCACGTTGGTTTCCGTCATTAACGATGATTTTCTCACCCGCTGATATTTAAACGGAATCGCAGATGAAACAAACGCAAGTTGTGTTTTTTGGGTGACTTTATAAAACTCTGAAGAAAGCAAACTGGTGTGTGTACATGTTGGAAAAGAGCGTTTTATGAATGTTTTTTATGCACTTTCACACGTTTTGTAATATTTCTGTGGAAAATTTTAAAGTTTATTAAATAAAAGAAAGAAAAGAGAACTGATGGGAAAAGCCAGGTGAACAGATTAAAGTAGTTTGAGTAAATAAGAAAACATCTATAAGAAAAGGGGCCACTGTAGTTATTTTTTCTAAGTTTTTCGTATCGTATCGAGAATTGTGAGATTTCAGTGCTGGTAAATTTCCGGTATCATGCATGGTGACATCCCTCGTCTGTTTCAGAAACAGCTGTTTAGAAAAGTGCTTTCGTATGATTTGATTTGATTAAATACAGCTGACAGTTCGCTCCACAGAGGCTGCTCAGGACTTTAAATACATAATTGACTCGTGAGACCGAATCAATAAATCCTCTCGGGGCTCTGGACTCCAGAGGTCCCGCCTGAATCAAATCAACAACTGTGGAAACTTGCAGGCAAATAAATCAATGTGTTTTCCTGTGAAGGTAACGTGGACAGTCTCTGTGGCCTGTATGCTCTCAGTACGCCTGTTTAATAACGCTGTTTTTTCCTGTGAGACTATTTTCTTTCCCTGCTGCTGCTGGACTTTGTAAGCTCTCTCTCTCTCTCTCTCTCTCTCTCTCTCTCTCTCTCTCTCTCTGTTGATGTCGGCATGCAGAAATAGATAAACTATTTTTACAGATCCTGCCGAGATTAGTCATGAAGCCATTTAGAACTCAGCCGAACGGTAGTAGCAGAAGCTCAAACATGCAACCTCACCCCCCTTTTACCTCCCTCTTTTTCTTACCCTCTCCCACCTTTTTTCCTGCCCCGGCTTGCAGCTTCATTATACTATATTTTTATATAAATAATGATCTGTTTTACTGAATTTCCTTCCCAAAGGCAGCAGACACGTAGAGGTGAAAGCTTCACATAACAATAAGTGCATAATTAACCTTGAGGGAGGAGATCCTCAAACACTCCCCCACTCTTCCCCATCACACAGCCAACCTCCCCCCCTCTCTCACAGAGGCCCAGGCTGCAGAGCTGGCTGAAGTCTCTAAGCAAATATCTCACATTTAAACAAACAAATATGAATTTACATGC